ATCAGTCCCCGTTTTTATTATTGGTTCGTTGCTAGTAACTCGATCAAAGCAAGGTATATTTCTCTCCCAAAGAAAATATGTATTAGATTAATTATCGAGGTTGGATTGTTAGAATATAAGCTTGTGAATACTCCAATAGTTCAAAATCATAAACTTGGAGAATATCAAGATCAAGTGGCAACTGACAAAGAGATATATCAAAGATTAGTTGGTAAGCTCATTTATCTTTTGCATGCTCGTCGGTATATTGCTTATGTGGTACGTGTAGTGAGCCAATTTATGCACTGTCCAAGTGAAGATCACATGTATGCAATAATTCGGATTCTTCGTTACCTAAAGTTCTTATCGAGAAAATGACTAATGTTTTCGAAGAATAATCATCTAAATATTGAGGGCTATATAGATGTAGATTGAGCAGGAAACATCTCAGATAGAAAGTCTACTTCGAGTTATTTTATATTTGTAGGTGGGAACTTGGTGACATGAAGGACCAAGAAAGAGAATGTGGTAGCATTGTTGAGTGCAAAAGCTGAATTCCACGGAATGGCTAAGGGTCTTTGCGAGCTTCTCTGGCTTAGAAGACTATTGACCGAGATAGGTTTGGGACTTGAGAAGTGAAATGAAGAAAAAGATTGCGATTGGACAATTAATAACTGTTGTGATAATGCTTCAAGTTAGGGCTGCACAAAAAAATCGCAAAATCGCAAATCGAACTGAAATCACTAGTTTGAAACCGTTGGTCCGGGTCCACGTGGACTCGCGATTTCTTTCTCTCAAACTGAACCAAACCGTTTCAAAATAGTTTGATTTATGTTTCAATTTTCAAAAATCGTATAAAATCGAACTAAACCTTTTTTTAATTTTTAATTAAATTTTTTTTATTAACATACAAATGTTAAAGTTTTCACTTTTTTTAAAAAATACCAATTTAGAAATACAAATTACAAGCCACAACACAAATTTTAAATTTTTCACTTATTGGCCGATGATTTTATAAGTCCACAGTACACATTGACCCGATATCTAAGCTAAACTAAAATAAATCTCAAATCACATGAAATAAAAAAGAACACCTATTTTTAACAATCCAAATCATAATTTAACAAAATTACGACAGCAAATCACGCTCAAAACTTCAGAATCCCTAACCTGAACTCTCATTTCTCAAACATTTGACGCTTGCCTACCAATATTGAACAAAATGTGATTCTCAATCTCAATTCGCTAGTTGTCTTTTGCTTGTTAGTTTGTTAATTTCTACCCGAATCACCTCTTTCTCTCTTGATAAGTCTTAGATTCCTTTTAAGTCATTTCTTTATTGTTTTTTCTTTCATTTATTGTTTTTTAATTTATTATACACTTATAAGTTGTGATTTGGATAACAAAAATGATTGTTTATGTGCGTAGTGATTAACGAACTTGTTTGTGGTTTAAAAAGAACGAAGGATAGAGTGTATTGATTGTGTGAAAATGTTAAAGTTCCCTAACTAGTGCTACTACATTCTACTTTCTCAAAGTCGTTAG